GGTGGAAATATTTTAACGTGGTGGAAAGATCGTTCAATAATTTATAAACAATTGTCACGTTTAGCACTATCATTATTAGCAATTCCAGCCAGCTCAGCCACAGCTGAACGAATATTTAGTGAAACAGAAAGAATATTAGAGGCTCGAAGACAATTATTAAGTTCAGAATCTGTTGATTCTCTGGTATTCTTCCGTAATTTCAATGAAAACTGATATTGTCTATTGTTATTTTGTTCTTTGGTAGATAAAGTTATATATATGTATTGTTTTAGCACGTTTGCGTTTTCGGGTACGGGTCGGGTACGGGTACAATGTTGCGGGTACGGGTCTGGTACGGGTAGGGTCCGGGTAAAAATGAAATTTTCGAATCGGGTACGGGTATGAAAATCGTACCCGTGCACATCTCTAGTTAAGGAGGTGGAATTCGTTATCAGCGCAAAAAACTGCATCGAGTGATGTACTCATATCGGTTCTCGGATAATAAAACATTTCTAAAACCTTAATCAGCGAAGTGTCGCGTTACGTGGACAAGCCGTGAGCCAATATATTGAGCAATGATAGACCTGTATAGTGCAGAATGTTGCTTTCTGTAATATATTACGAAAATTCGGGTGTCTATATAATGTAGATACAATGTGGACAGCATTTTCCAAGCTGTAAATACATGAGTCAATATATCGGGCAATAATTGCTTAATATATGTGATTCCATAGCTAGCAGCACAGCGCTGTCAGACACTGTCCACAATATATCGGGCGATAATTGATCAATGTATCGATTAAATAGCTATTCTGATCAGTGTTTTTCGTCAACCCGATATATCGGGTACGAAATCTAGTCGCTAGCTATCATACCCGATATAGCTAGCTAACTCAGTAAAAGTAGTATGGATAGCTAGCAACGGCAGCCGATATTGCCCGATAACATGTCTTTATAGTTATATATTCTTAAAGGTATTTTTTTGCTTAGGTTGATTTTTTAAATTTATATAATTATTCATTTATTGTGTGAAAATCGCATACCGGTAGCTATTTATTTGTTTAAATTAGGAGTGTTGATTTAGTGTAGCTTTAGAAAATAGATATAAATCAATCAATTATATTTAAAAAATAAATATAAATTCGTGATTTATATTTATTTCTTAAAAGGATGACGAATTATCCAATGAACAATAAAACTAAAGTAACACGCCTAGTTTAAACATCCGAAAGAAAATTGTCAGTCCATTTTGTTTGTCCTTTTAAAAAATATTCTCAGCAGCTTACCCTGAAATTTCAAAAATCCAATAAACATGATTTTTCAGACATGGTTTTTACAAAATGGCGGTGGTGACATGATGTGCTGAACGATGTTACTTTATTAATCTCTAAAACTAAACCGCGAAAGAAAATTGGTGCAGAAATCTTCGAGAATTCATAGAGGAAACTGAGCATATTTTTTAATGTTTTTATTGTTTTAAGTATGAAGAGGGAGGCTTTTCGAAAAAGATACATAGTAATTCACAATAATTTCGACGATACTCTTGATTTTATTTATCTGCTTTTTATGTCGACTGACATTTAGCATTTATGCTGGGAATTTTCTTTTTTCTTTACAACCTTTTTTAGCGAAAAGAGAACTTGCAAATGACTCATATATATAAATAAAAAATGTTGTCGATTGTGTACTAGATTATTAAATTGAAATTTACTTTTTAAATTATTTATTGAAATTGTTAAGTTTCTTATTAACACAAGTTGTAGAGCTTTTCATGGCGTATCGAATGATGTATTGCGCTAGGCTTAATATAGTATGGTTACTGAGAAATATTGATTTATTGGTTATTGGTTGGGTTATGCTGGTGAACGAGAGAACAGACGTTTCGTGATCAACCTATCCACCTATTAACATATATTCATATATTTTTATTTGAAATCCATTTTAATCCATCCATTGCACTAGCCACCAATTATTTAACATGTGAATCGAATGAGCGTTGGCAAGAGATACTATCCGATGTACACGAAATACGTCACCGATATCCAATAAAAATTATTGCAAGTATTTTAGACAATTCGTACTTAATGAAATTTGGTATTGAAATGATAGACAAATAATTGGACGAATGGTACTATACCATCTATAGGAAAATGGTGATAGAGTGGCAATTGGATGGTATTGATTTGGATTTTGAATCGACAAATCAGTTTGATTACGATATGAATACACAAAACTATAATTAAACGTTAAGCATCAAGGACATACGATCTGAATGGCTAAAGTGTCTCTCTTTCTATGATACGTGGTTTTCTCTTTTCAAAATTCTTTTTACATAGCAAAACGTTCGATTTTCCACCGGGCTGAAAATAAGAGAAATAAAATACATATTTTGATTCTCAATTTCACGAGGATTCCGAATATGCTACCTGTTTTCTTGGACAACTCTTAGTTTTCGAGAAAGAAGCGAAAAACTATTTTTGCTTGGAAACTAGCGCTTTGTATTCTATTCTCCCATTTTTCTCCGTTCTGAATATATTCTTTTTTTCTCTGATTTCTCTTATTTTCATGTTATCAGAATGAAGAGACAGAACGAAAAACAGAATATTCATGTCTAGAACACTGATTATGTAGACAGGTACATTAGACAGGTACATTTTAGTGTGAATGTTCATACTTTTCAATTCACAAAATCACTCACTATGAATTTAATACAGTATCTATCAACTTGATTGCTTTTCTCTAATATTTAAGCCGAACTAAAAGCAACCTTTTCTGATTTGTAGTGAGACGCAGACTATTCAACTTGGGCATTAAGATAGACGGTTTTTCAAAAAGGCTAGAGAGTCTAACTGTTAAGCTATTTGTTTTGCAATTTGAGTGTCTGGCTGAACAAAATACAGCATTCTTCTGCATATATATTATATATTGGAACAAATTAAATGTTGATGGTCAATTCATTGTTTGACTACCATAACTTTCCGGCTTCCTCTGCGGATCACAGTAGCAAACATCCGAGCTAATGTAATCCAAGAATAACAGCCGAGTGGAGTAGGGTAATAGAGGAATACTGGCAGAATGACGACCAGCCGGAATTTATTTTGACGTGATCCCTAGATGGATCATTTAATGATCACATGAATAGCAGAAAGGGTTTAGCAAATGAATGTATCTAACAACTAAGAGAAAGGTTTTTTGAGCGACACTGTTTGGAACAGAAAATTTTAATGTGCGTACTTTTCATGCAATCCGTTGCAGAAAAAAGGTGAAATTTATCAGTTATAACCGGTTAAATGAACAATTACAAATGAACAATTAGATAAAGAAACTACGCAATTATTTTGTCTTCGTATAACGACCGTATTCTATATCAATTGAACAGTGATGCTCCCTCTATTAATTGATAAACACTTTACCCGAACCCGACCCGAATCAATATTTTTTATATTAACCCGTATCCGACCCGATCCGAAGGCTTTTGGACCCGACCTGAAGTTTTCAAAACTGGACCCGAATGACCCGAAAATTTTTCACATTTCCAGCAAGTTCTCCCTGTACAAACTTTTACTACTTGTTCTTCCTCCCGAACATTTTTCTGCAACTTGCAAATCCTTCAATAATATTTGTTTTATTTGTTGGTTCATCGATTACCTCTGCAAAGAAATACCACCACCTTTACATGTTTTATCAACTTTTTTTCTTTGTCTTTGTGTTTCCTTGGAGTACTCATTCTTATAATCACTGAATTATGATAGAAATTTATTTTTAGAACTATACTGAAGTGTACAATACGTTTTATGAGAAAAATATATATGAGTGAATTTTTGGACTATAACTAATTATACATATATGACACTGACGTATTTTCATTGTTCTGGGAAATATTTGTTCCGTACCTTCAGAACAGAAATTGAACATATACGTTATTGTTTGTTATATAAACCCACTTACATTTTTCGACCGATATCGTCTGACATATGAAACAAACCACCTCACAGAAAAATGAATATGTCAGTTTGTTATATATCTTCTTATTTGATTTATAACTTCGAGACTAAAGCGAACTAATAACATTAGATTTCCTCGGGTATAGTCTAAAAAAATCTAACTCGTACTCGATAACTTTGTACCCGTACCCGACCTTCGGATCGGGTCGGGTCAGAGCTGGGCAACTCAATTCAAAAAACGACCAACTCAACTCCATTCAATTCAATTCGTGAATGGAATCGAATTGAATGGCAAATTTTTTCAAAAATTATCGAATCGAGTTGAATTGAATGGATATTTTTTTGAAAAATCATCGAATCGAGTTGAATTGAATGGATATTTTTTTCAAAAATCATCGAATTGAATTGAATCGAATCGAAATTTTTTTCACAAATCATCGAATTGAATTGAATCGAATCAAAATTTTTTTCAAAAATCGTCGAATCGAGTTGAATTGAATCGAAAATTTTTACTAGGATCACTGAATTAAATTGAATTTATTCAATTTGAAAAAAATCAAGAAATTCTTGTTGCGAGATCAATATACTAATAAAATCAAAGAGGCTGAGTTTTGACTAGAATTTATTTTATGAGTTTTCTTTAGGTCTTTTCTTCGAGGTATATATCTGTCTATCACCTGCTTGCTTAGTCATGTCGCTATTTTCTTCCTTTATCTCCTTAGTACATATGATCTAGAAGGAGAGTGAAAAACAAAAGGAAAATATTTTATGTTCTACACGTGTTTTATTGTCATTTTCTATGTTAGAAGTTATTTTTTGTACATCAGTTGACTGATGATGTATAAAGACGAAAAGTCTCATGTTCAGAGCTGGGCAACTCAATTCAAAAAACGACCAACTCAACTCCATTCAATTCAATTCGTGAATGAAATCGAATTGAATGGCAAATTTTTTCAAAAATTATCGAATCGAGTTGAATTGAATTGAATTGAATTTTTTTTCAAATGAATCGAATCGAATTAATTCCCTTTTTAAGCTGAGTTACCCAGCTCTGGGTCGGGTTGCACATCTCTATCCTTAACAAATAAAAATAAAAATTTCAGTGGAAAAATTTTTAATTTAAAATTTTTAAAAACTTTAAATGAACATTTTTGAACTAGAAAGGTTTTTAAAAAAATTTAAAATTTGCATCGTTCAATAACAAATTAAATTCTCCACAGAATGGCTCTTTTTTTTCGACAATTCGACTTTAGGAACAAAAATTTTTCACATAAATCGATAGAATATCACTAAATCTACGGCAAATATAAAATCAAATTTTTTGGAGAACATTAACTGCCTGGAAATGCACTGACAAAAAGTGTGTCACGCCGTCACATTCAGTCATCGACATTTATAAGCGAGGGAAAGGCTTTAGAAGAAAATTATTTGTAATATTGGATAGCTGTATTAGGAGGTGTTAAGTAATATTTCTTCTCGTACGCGAGTCGCTTTTACTGTACTCGATCCTTTCTTTTGTTCACATCACATGTTATGATATGATGACATATGGAGATCATATGTGTTCTACGCAAGGTCGACCTCTCTATCTGTTGTAACTCTCAAATGGCAGGCATTTACCTGGCCAAATGAGTAACCAATTTAGGGTCAGGAAAATACCTGCCATTCGAGAACCACAACAGATAGAGAGGCCGGCCTTGGACATAATTGTAGAGAACTCTTTGGGCTACCTAGACATTATGTTGAAATTAGAAGTCCACCGCAGGTTCAGAATCTGGCAACCTCATCGTGTTCCATCCGTCAGGTATACCAAATACGTGTGAGATGGAGTAAAGCATTCTCTACAAAATACTGAAACCAGAACTCTCTGCCTCTTTTCGTTCCTCAGTTATTCAAAAAACATCCATGATCGCTCTGTTAAGAAATCTATAATCAAAACCCCGTTTGCCTAAAACCGAGTACAAATAACTGCTTGTCGGTAACATTTTGAAAAGGCTAGTACAGAAGTTTGTAGCGCTTGGAAATCTCTGTCGAATGACGTATTACTTTATTGTTTCCTATAAACCGTTAATTTGCAAATAAAAGTGTACGGCACCAGAGTGATATTAATTAGTATTCACTACCATAATTAATTATAAATTATTGTCTTAAACAAACTTTTTCTGAAACATTTACATCAGACCATAACAACAAACCATTGGCTATCTAGCACTGCATGAATGACTTTTCTACGAGTATTTTTGACTGAGCTACGACTTTTTTAAAATGAGGACTAGGACTTTAACTTTTAATTAAAATTTAAACTCAATTGATTAATAGCTCTGTGAATAGTTATCAATTCATCGAGCGAACTTAAGAACATATGTAATCAGGTGCCCTCTTTACACTGACATAGTTTGAGCGCACATATTGGGGAGAGGGAGTCCTCCTTAAGAACAGCCCCCTTTCCAGCCTTTCTAAAGAACGGCTTAGTATAGGCTACAGAGACCGAAACGGGTCGGGTCGGATCCGGTTGTCTCGGCTCGGGTTCGGGTCAAAGCAAAAAAAATTTCGGGTTTTATTCGGATCTTGCCACTAGAACACAAATCAGGAGAGTTTCGTCGGTTACAATTCACTCTTCTATTTTCAAACATATGTCTTTTTTATCAAAAAGAGAAGTACAGTGTTTTTTCCTATCTGCTATGACGCTGTGTAATGTACAGTTTCGTACTGTTAAAGCAAAGAAAGAAAAGATATATAGAAAAACGTGTTTAGTAATTCTCGTTCGTATACAGCATTGTTTTTTGATATATCTGTAACTGAATTCCTTTACCTTTATTGATAGACAGTTAGTCGACGACACTGCTTTTTTTGTTAAAAATGGCTTCTAATGAATTTAACAATACTTCATCCAAAATAAGTACGTAGCTCGTCTATTAAGTAATTACTAGGGAATTAGAAGCGCAATCGGTTCTCTCGTTTAATCTTCACGTTAATTAAAGCGCGGATGATTTTTATATCTTGCTGTTTTAGCCACGCTCTTGAAATTAAAATCTACACAATATGTTGTTGTTGAGGCTGCAACAGCGAAAAATTGATGTTCCGGATGAAAAATGGCGCGGATTCTAGTCCACTCCTTCTGTCTAATTTTGCTATCGTTATCATGTTCAAAAATATTATTTCCTTTAGGCCGCTACCGTCATTTTTGGAATCTTAGAATGTGGGCTGCCACCTACATATACATATTGAAATTTTCTTACACATGCCAATTTGGCGGTACGATGTGTAGAATGTTTCCTGTTACTAGCACCCCTTCTTGAGCTGATTGTTTTTATGGCTTGTTGACTTTTTCATGACGCTTATTCCTTAAATTTCTTAGAAAAGTTTGACATTTGCTTCTGTCAACAGTCACTGTTGGTAGTAGATTTATTAAAAGATCGGTCTTCCCCATCAGTTGGGGATAGAAACTCCGTCTTTTATGTGCCCCATGGCCCTTTTCATAAAACATTCCATGTTCTATTTAATATGAGAGTTCATCCCAATAGTCACAGTGATAATAAATGTAATCCACAGTACATTATTGCTAACCGATGTAAATATGACATGCAAGCTCAAAAAGTTGCAAATCTCTACTTTTGTTATAACAATCTAACTAACTAATTATGAATTCGTTGATATTATTTATTTATTTAATGATAAGAAACAGATTAAAAGTTTTTAACTCAATGAGAAATCGGATATTCAGAGGGTTAAGATCGGCAAGATCGATGTTTTGGTTCTCCGAGTCAAATACGGAAGGAATAATTACCTTGGATTTCAACAAGCCGAGGTAGTATTCCACTCTTGGATTCAATTACATTACCCTTGGAAAAGATATCAATGAGAATCCAGAACCAAGGAATTATGGCTAGTGGAGGATGTAATGTCGGTATTTTCCATCGAATCATTAGCGCATTTGATCTAAAATCCTATAAAATACAGGGAGTTAATCTCGGAAAGGATGAGACAAAGTGGCTTGTGGATTTTTTGAATAATCAGAAGTCTCTTAAGTCTTTGAAGATCAACAGTCTTAAATGTTCCAACATTAACAATCGCGAAGTAGAAAGTAAAAGTAAGTTTATTGTAAAGAGATCATTAAAATATGAGAAAAACATGATCATATTAGTCCACCTTAAGGTCCAAATTCAGGTTCTCAATTGGTATCAGTGAATTGCATTTATCTTATTTAGACAAGAAATCTATAGACGAAGTTGCCAATGTGGCTCAAGATTTAAAAGGTTTAGAAACCCTAAAATTAGAAATGTCAAGTTTGGACACAAGCTCGATGAATAAGATTGGACGGCTCTTAGTTAATAATAGAAAAACTCTCTCCAAACTTGAACTCAACAAACATTTGTGTCACGAGCTCGTCAGCAAATGCATCTATTTCTACTATAAATGATTACTTAACTGCAGATGGCAATAATGCTACAAGAAGCATCTATTTCTTTGAACAATTGGACGAACTGTTCAACCTCATCAAATTGGATCTTTCAAACATTAGGATTGGCGAAATATTCGGAATTTCCGCTCTCTCTCGATCACTGATGAAGCTTCCCAAGTTCCGCCACCTTAATTTGAGAGGAGACGTTTTCGGAGCTCAAAATTGTCCAGAGTTCACTAATGCCTTTAAAAACATGCCCAACTTGGTATATCTGAATCTAGGTGACAATGGATTATTTAGTCGGGATAATATTGAGATGCTTGGGAAAATCCTAGATCACCTAACAGGTTTAATTTATTTAAATCTCGAGATGAGTCAGCTGGGAGAATGGACGACCAGAGAGTTCTGCAAATCCCTTGGAATTTCCTGGAATCGCAGACTTCTTATGAGTGGCTTTGTGAGGCTATAGCTAAACTTCCTAATTTAACTCGATTGAACGTTGGTTTCAATTCATTTGAACGAAAAAATGTTAGAAAATTCTTCTCAACACTTGAGAAGTTAGATAAGTTAAGCCATCTGAATCGTGAAGCCACAGAACTTCGAAATTTTATTTTCGAACTACTTTTTTATTTTATCTCCTTCAATAAAGAAAAAAGATTGATTCACTAGTTGGAAAGTATTTTTAACAACAATTTCAGAGTATTAAATTATTTAGCCCTTTTAATATCAGGGTTCTCAGCATAAAGACGCCTCGTGAAGGCTTCGAAGAATTGAGAATTTTGAAATCCAGAACAGTACAAACATTCCTTTGATGCAGCATAAGGTAGATTTGAGAAGAAAATTTATGCAATTGGGTAAATTTAAAGAAAAGGTCGAAGAAGGATCCCTGAAATTCTATTTAGGGATGATTAATTTGCTTGAATCATCAACAGATAAATTTTTATGTTTATGAGACAAATATAATTGCAGCTGTTGAAGAACAATGGGCAATGTTTTTACGAAAATTAGATGATGACACTATACCATCAGATCATGCCGAAGAAGAATGCAACAAATTGATTGATCTATTGAGAAAAGATTACAAAGAAGAGAAGATTATTAAAAATTCATATTATCATACAGTGATTGCAAATGATATTATTATGAATGAATGGTCAATACGTAATTCTTCAAAAGCTAAACCTGCTTTGAGTCATTTTGAGAAAGCTGTTCAATTAGATGAAGCTGCTTCTGGTGCGGCGCATTTAGGTATAGCCTGGTGTACACTTATAATTCAAGATAAGAATTATAAAAAGAAAGCACTTGAATCATTTGATAAATCATTAAAAATCTTATCGAATGAAATGGCAATGTTAAATTCAATGCAATTACTTTTAGAACAAAAACAACCGACATTTATTGGTAGTGAACTATATAAACAGCTTATGACGAAAGTAACTATTTTAGGTACATATTTAAATAGTGTTCAAAGTAATATCGGTGCGATTAAGAAATCTTTGAGACTTATTGATTTGATTGAAATTAAACAACAATCGAATAGCAAT